AAATGAACAGCACTATCTGGTATAAACTCAAAACTAACAGCCTACTGACAGTACATATAAAATTCAAATACATCTTCAAGATCTTTTTATTTACCTATAGGTCTAACACATTAAATAAAATTATAAGAAAAAGGTAGACTTGAGTTTATATCTCTTAACTATGGCTTCACTAGACACTAGTTTACTGTGTGTACATAATATATATATATATATATATATATATATATATATATATATAATTTCTAAAACAAATTATCCTTCTTTTCCAGTATGCTCCTTTCATTTTCAGAAGACTACAAAGCATTTCAAAAATATTTACTACTGCTACTAGTGTTATACTTTGACTTTCCTGAATGTTATGCTGCATACCTTAAAAATCGATTCATTGTAGCCAACTCAATAACAAACCAAGCAATACTAAAACACATTCTTCTATTCCTTTATAAGTGGAAATATCTCATCATTAAATTTGATAACTTCTAAAAATCATCCCCACACACATAAATTCCATCTGTTTCTGAAGAACAAAGTCAGGATAATGTAAGAACAGTAACAAAAATCTTCAAAATTTACTTAACTAAGTTTAACTACTTATCCATAAGTAATGATCCTTGAAATAGAAACATCAAAAGACCAATTTTAGTTGTAATGTGTTATTCTTTGTAAAAGACTGTAATATCAATTTATTGTTAGAGAAGCAGTTTTCAACCTTTGGGTTGGGGTCATAAGACCCGTCCACAGGGGTTGCCTAAAGCCATCTGAGGTATTTACATTCTGATTCATAATAGTATCAAAATTACAGTTATGAAGTAGCAATGAAAATAATTTTAACAACATGAGGAAATATATAAAAGTATTACAGCATTAGGAACGTTGAGAACCACTGTCTTAGAAGGCTAAATGAGCTACCTTGAGCAGGTCTCTTTGTTTCTAATAGAACACATCTGTATTGTAACTGGGTTATGGGTGAAATTTCTAGTTACAGAAAAGAACAACGCGATTCACTTGTGTGGCCTGAGTACCACAATCTCACACCCTCCAACAATAAAGTCTTTTGAAGAAATGTAATAGACATTTATCCTAGAGTTTTCCTTTTCTACATTCTCACTAATTTTTTAAGTCCAATTCCTTTCCTATCTGAAGTAAATAGGTAACAGTCTAAATGAAAATGTTTACCATAATCTGTACCATCCTAGTAAAGTTTAAAGGGAACAGATACAGAGTGCTAAATAAAACATAAAGGCACCTATAGACAGTCTGTGTTCTTAGCTTTACAACATTAGTAGCTAAATCCACCACAACTCAAGGCAGAAGAAACATAAAATCCCTCCAATGAAGGTCTCTCCCTAATTAATACACCATGGTACCAGATATTCAGAAAGGGAGATTCTAAATAAATTCTACTTACTAAGTTCTTACTAGGTCCCAAACTGTTTAAAAACATCTCATTTAATCCACACAATTACTGCTACAATTTAACAGAATAGAAACCAACGCTCCCTAGATTAATGAGGTGGCAGCCACTTGGTCTGTCAGTGACTTAGTGGCAAGTTAGGATTCAACTCAGATTTCCCCAGCACCAAAACTGCTGCCTTATTATGCCCATCTCCCTTGGGTTAGTGGCTTCCATGCTGTATGAGCATTAAAGGGAATTCAAACCTTCAGTTCTCTCCCTGGAGTTTCAGAAAGTTTTTTGCTCATTTGGTACTAAAATGACAGCAACTTTCCAGTACCCTAACCAGTTTCCTTCCCTCCTTCCCTCACTTTCATATACAAAGAGAGAGCACAGACTTTGTTCTTGTATTCAGACTTCTTTTCCCTCTTATGACTATTGCTATGAATGCTACAGGCACATTATCTCTCCAAGAGTAAACAGGGAACTTCTCTGCCCCTCCCCCTTTGCTCCAAGTTGCTTATTACCAACAAGCCTGGACTATTGATCTCAAAGCTAGAGGACGGTTGTACATGTACAATGAGCCAGGCAGAGCAGCCACCTTCTTCTCAGCCTTAGGCCACAAGCGCTGATAAAGGGTATGCCAGAGCAGTGTGTCTGGGAAGCATACTTGAGAAGAATCCCTGGACACGGTTATTAAGGAAAGCTTGAGTTAAGTGCTTCTTAATGCATATACACAACATGAAGGGAACCATGGTAAACTGCCAGAACCAGGGGCTTCTCAAGGATTTGCTTATTTGTAGCTTTGGAAATAATCGGTGAAAACTGACATTAACCAAGTTAAGCTGATTCTGTGATTCGCTGTACACTGAGAACAATAAAGCATTTGGCATATACTTCTGAAAATGAGCTGGCTTTTTTTTTTTTCCTCTCTCTCTCAAAAAACTGTTTTTTAAGTCTGCTCAATGATGATGACTATGTGCCTTTCCATGGTACAGTTTCTAAAATTCACATGTTGGGAAGCCACCCAATATGCTGGATCTTGAAATGTACTATAATACAAATTTTATTTGGGTAATAAGAAACAAAATAATTAAAAGCCATATGACCTGTGCTTAGACTGAAAGAACTTTCTGCACTAGAATAAGGATGTCAACCTCTCCAGAGCATGGAAGAGTCCTCCTTAATGACCAAAGCCAAACAAGTGGTGTATAAAATATGTGTATAAAATTTACAAAATATGTATATATGTTAATCTTCAACATAAACCTGAATTCAAACAAGCACAAATAAATATTTACAGTTTAAGAAGTGAAAAGGGATCAGACCTTTATAGTTGAAATTTTCTATAGTTCTTTGAAATTACTCAAATAATTTAGAAGTTAGAAAAGTAAACACATGGTAGGATGGAGATCCAAGGCCACAGTCACATTAGCCACAATTTATTCAATTCCATCACTGACCTATAGTCAAGGCAACATACAAGCGATCTTAACTGACTACTACAGGAAAGAATTCACTACCCCATTTCAGATAGCACTCACTCTGCAGGTACTTCAGCCTTCCACACACCTGAAGCTTACTAGAGACACATGCCTGCATTCTTACAAGCTTCTTGTGGTACTTGGATCTTATCATTTGATGCTCTTTAGATTTTGACTTCCTCTCATATGTGAAGTATTTCACTATGCTTACATGAACATAATAAAATGAATTATTTTGGATATTTTAAACTGAAAGTACCTATTAGTAAATAAATTTCACCAGTTTCTCTTACTTGTTTAATGTGGCTCTTCGAAATTTTTAAATTATATAGGTGACTCCTATTATGTTTCTACCTACACCTGCTTATTTACTGAACTTCTTTCATTCACTGAAAACTACAGCCAGATATGGCAGTTTACACCTATAATCCCAGCCCAGAAGGGGAGGATCAGGAGTTTAGGGCTAGCCTGCTATTTGAGATTGTCTCAAAATAAACAAACACAAAATGGAAAACATCAAGAGTAATATCATAATCATCCATGATCCAGAAACATGTTTGTTTGAGAAGGAACCCAGAATTCCCCCAAAATAGGTTCCCTTTTTGGTTTATTTGTTTTGAGATTTCAAGGATATTTTTGGTCTGGTATTGGGGGTGGGGGTGCTTTGGTTGTTGTTCTTTTGGGTTTTTCCTTGTTTGTTTTGTTGGGGGGTTTTCCTCTTGTTGTTTGTTTGTTTGAGTTAGGCCCTAGTATTGCCTAAACACTAATGATTAAGAGTCATACAGTCAGGGAAAGAATAGAGGAAAGCAAGGAAAGAGATACTGTAATAGAGGGAGCCATTATAGGTTTTAAGAGAAATCTGGCACTAGGGAAATGTCCAGAGATCTACAAGGATGACCCCAACTAAGAATCTAAGTAATAGTGGAGAGGCTACCTTAAATGCCCTTCCCAGTAAGGAGATTGATGACTACCTTATATGACATCCTAGAGCCTTCATCCAGTAACGATGGAAGCAGAAATAGACACCCACAGCTAAACACAGAGCAGAACTCTTGGAGTCCAGTTGCAGACAGGGAGAAGTGATGAGCAAAGGTGTCAATACCAGGCTGGAGAAACCAACAGACACTGCTGACCTGAACAAGGGGGAGCTCATGGACTCCAGTCTGATAGCTGGGAAAACAGCATAGGACCGACCCAGATTCCCTGAATATGCTGTTAGTTGGGAGGACTAGGCAGTCTATGAAGCCTCTGGTAGTGGATCAGTATTTATCCCTAGCATACGAATGGACGTTGGGAGCCCATCCAACATAGAGGGATACTTTCTCTGCCTACACACATTGGGGAAGGTTTGGGCCCTGCTCCAAATGACTTTAACAACTCCCTATGGAAGGCCTTACCTTCCCTGGGGAGCAGAAAGGGGATGGGATGGGGGTGGGGGGGGGGGAAACAGGGGAGGATGTGAGGGTGTAGGAACTGAGATTGACATGTACAAGAAGTTTGTTTCTAATTTAAATTTTAAAAAATTATAAATATATATTTATAGTCATACTATATAAATATATATATATACATATGTATAGTCTTTCTCTCTCCCTCTCTCTCTCTCTCTCTCTCTCTCTCTCTCTCTCACACACACACACACACACACACACATATATATAGTAGAGGCAAGAAGTACAGCTCAACAGGTAAAGGTGTAAGAAGAGAAGCAAAGTTGTCCCCTGACCTCCACAAGTGTCCTGTGACATGTCCTATACATACCATACACATAATATAATAAGTTATTTAATATTTATATTTATACACTTCTTGTTTATGAGCCATAAAAATCAGTGAAAACAAGTTCTCAGAAAGAAAATTGATATTCTGTCTAGCAGATTGTGGAATTATGCTCTGAAAACTCTTCTACAAGTTACTAGGGGAAAAAGACAACAGGGAGCATATAATGTCAGTTATGGTTTAAATCTAATGTTTATAGTCAATGTACTAAACAGTAAGTATCTTCAAGTTACTTTAAAATAATAATAAATTCTGTTATTTCATTTCCCTCTTAAAAATACCATTGTTACCATAGTTACAATAATTCAGCCATAATTATACTGGGCGATTTAGTCATACTTTACCTAAGTATATCAGTCCAAACCCTCCAGAACCAATCATCTTGCCCAGTGCCCACTGGTTTCCATCTATATCATCCAGAACTTTGCCTTCTGGGAGTGGAACCGGAAGTTTATATTTCTCTTTTCTTCTTTGTGCCATCACATCTGTTAGAAGGATGAGATAAACAGTTACAAACAAAACTCTAGCATTAAAACATGTTTTTCCCCAGAATTAACATTAGGATCCTGTGCTCAATTCCAACTAGAGAAGGCCATCCACCATAATAGCACAGATGTTTTTGTAGAGGGCTTGGTGCAGTTCCCAGCACCCACAGGGTAGCTTATACCTCTGTAATTCCAACTCCAGGGATCTGATGCAGTTGACCTTTTGTACTCACAGGCACATAACCAATACACAAACACACATGTACACATTTAAAAATAAAAATAAACCTTTAAAAAAGATCCACTGTTTCATTTAAGGCAATACTTCAAAATTCCATTTGAGGATTTATTAACACTACACAATACACCTTAAGAAAGCTATTTCATACACATGAAAATACTCATTTGTTGAGAATACCGTGTTAAAGTGAGGCTGTTAGTTACTGGGGACCGGTATGGCTTTAAATTCAAAGATCAGACACTATCACCTCCAAGCAAGGGTTTTCCTGGCTATCTATCTAACAGATCAGGCCACTGGCTACTTCAGGCTATTTCTGGTTTTCTGACTTGCCTCTTTCTCACCCACTCCCATCATTGTGAAAACAGCTTTGCCTTAGATATTATGGGTGTGCAAATAACAGGAATTCCATAATCCATAAGAAAATCATAAAGCCTTAATCAATTATCATTGTATACAGATTAGCAAATTATTAATGGGAGCTTTTGGAAGTAGGCCAAAAACGTTTCTAATGGGTATACAATTAATAAATATCAGAATAAATGCTTGAAACAAAAGATGAAGTTAACCATGATCCAGCCTCCTTAGTGTTTCTAGACAAATAAAAAAATAAAAATTAAAAAAAAAGAAAAAAGAACCTGAATATTTCTGTTTTAGTTTTTAGTTTGGATCCTATTGCTGTGATAAACACTATAAAATTAACTTGAGACAGAAAGGGTTTATTCATATTTCAGTACAGTCCATCCTGAAGGGGTGTCAGGGAAGGAGCTCAATGCAGGAATTCCAGGCAGGTACTGGAGCAGCCGCCAGGAAAGAACTCTGCCTATTAATTGGCTTGGCCTTGGAGGCTCAGTTTTCTTACCCCAGGATGTGTCCAGAGGTGGCAGGGCCACAATGGGCTGGGTCCCCTCCCCAGATGACCCTGGGAGGTGAAAAGTTAACAAACAAAACTAACCAGGACTGACACTTTCGTGAAAATGACTCATAAATACACAGTACAACATTTTCCATCTTCAGGTAAGTAGAATTTTCCCTCCTCCACTTACTGAACCCAAAACCACGCGAGGCCGCCCTTCACAACATTGGGACTGAACACACCACAGGCAGAGCGGGAAATGTAAACCGTAAACACCTAGGGCCGGTGCTGAAGGAGGATGTGTGTCTCCCGGCCCAAGCCAAAGTCGCTGGCGGAGACGTTCGCGTCTTCCTAGAACAACTTTTGAGCAGGCAACTAAGATAACAATTAGTTTGGGGTTCCCGGTGGCACAGGGTTGAAGCGCTCGCCGGGTGCAGATCCCCACTCCCAGGGGGAGCTGCGGCCCTGTCCCCAACAGGACAGTCCCCGGGGGTGCAGATACATCCGACCGGGTTCCGGGCACGTCGGTACCCAGGGGCGAGCACAGGCAGGGCCTACACCCGTCCAGACAGCGCGCCAGCCACCTGCCGGGCACCGGAACCTGCGCGACGGAGGGATGACGGGACGGGACTGACCTGCTGCCCAAGCCCGCGCAGCGCCAGCCTCTGCGACCAGGCGGGGCCGAGGCCTCGAAGTGGGGCGGGCCGCGTTAGGCACCTCCCAGGGTCAGGGCGAGCTCCCCGCCCTCAGGCCGCCCGAGGCTACCGGGCCTGCCCAGACCCACTCTGAGGGCGAGGCTGGGAGAGTCTGGAAAGTTAGGCAGTACTTGACCCGGCCCAGGTCTGTCTGGAGAGCCTTCGGAGTAGCGTGGGGTGGAAAAACCAGGGCGAGCCCTTGAATAGGAAGAATCGAAGACTTCCTGTGCCAGGCCTGAGTACCAACCGCTTTCAAATTGGGCCTGCCTTTACCAAGAGCTCGCCCAGCAGTCAGGCATACCCACCCAGCCCTGAGGGACCTGAACTGAATGTGTTCACCTCACCTAGGGGGATGGGATGGGGGTGGGCAGTTGTATCTGATTGTAACACTCCCAGGCATCAGCCTAGTTGAATGTTTAAAATATAATTTAGTTGGTACATTTCTACCTTCCCGTCTGTAGAATGGAAAAGATTAGTTATTGGGTTTCAAAGTTACTATGACAACTGAGAGACATATGTTAAGTATATTTCTAGTTCTTTAAGGATGCACGGTGAGTTTCTATTGTAGTTTAAAAAAAAAAAAAAAAAAAAAAAAAAAAAAAAGCCCCAGAAAACAATTATTTAAGCATTTAAGTTCCTTACCTAAAAACAGTCAATAATTTCCCAAACTGCAAATGCTAAAAGGAAAAGTGATGCTCTCTCTGTGAGGGCTAAAGTCATGTTTTAAGTTTAAATTGCTCTAACTTGTAAGCCCCACTTGTCCAAGAACAGATAACTTTCTAGAATGGTGAGGATTGTTGTTCATGTAACAAGTCTTATGTCTTCACTTCACAGGATTTGCTTGACCACAAACAGGAATTACCTTAGGTTGTATGCTTGCCACTGATTGGAGGAAGATAGAAAGTACATAGTTTTATGGGGTTTGCCTTTGTAAGCCCCTGCCTAATGTAATTATCAACTGTACTCTTGTGAATTCCGGGTATGAACCTGGCAAATGTCCATTTTCCTGGCCAGTACTGAGTAAAATTTGTTTCAAATTTGGCTGAAACACTGTGGTAGTTGTAGTGGCTTGGTGGTATTAACATCTCTTCACTAAATTGGTAAGTAAGGAATTGGTACTTTTTCAAACTCCTGAAGTGGAAGATGGCACGAAACTAATTTTTAAGGGCACTAGATGGCAAGGATATAAAAGTGTTTCTTCAAAAGAATTTTGGAGACAGGGTTGTAGTTTCCTTGGTGTTTGTCTGGCTGTAGGAAGGCCTTAACACAAACCCCTGCACAGTAAATGACTCTTTGGCACAGGTCTGTGATCCCAACACTTGGGAGGTGGGGACACAAGGTTTAAGGTTATGCTGCTTACAGAAGATCCCCTGTTGCGTGGGCTGCATAAGACACATGCATGGGGTGGGGCTCAGAGGGCTGACAGTTTTCTGGCCCTCTGCTTCTTTGGTTTACTTACAGCAAGCACCCAAGCTTTTTATTTAAAAAAAAAAAAAAAAAAAAAAAAAAAAGCACAAAAGAAAAGAAGTTACAGCTTAGTTTAAATGGTTGCCCTGGGTCATTCTAATTTACTTCATTTATGAGCCAGCCTTTGCTTTTACCTGAAGCAATGCTTCTCTGCACTATTAGTGATCAGGGTGGAAAGTCCCTACTGCTCATGAGAGGGTGGGGGAGGGGCACAGATTAGGACAACCAGAATTTCCCTAGACATCAACAAATTTTGCCAAACTGCCCCTGGTTGAGAGTAACTTTCCTAAAATGATCTGCCTGTCCACATCTGCATTCAAATTCCCCAATTCCTTTTCTTTTCCAACTATGGTACCTTCCTTGTTTTTCATTCTTAGCACCTTTGCATTTAGCATTCATCCAGATCCCCTCTTTAATCTGTTATCTGTACCATCTACCCCATCACTTTCCTGGGATCTGTATTTCAACAACATCAGTCCTTTCCAACCAACCTTCCTTACCTTCCAAACCACCTATACACTTGACAGCTCCTACCCATTTTCTTCCCAGGATCAGCTGGTATATCCCAGCACATAGTGCCATTTCTTTACTGGCAACTGCCTGACTTCCTCTGTAAATCAAATGTTTTCTGGGAGTGGGGTCTTGAAAGGAACAGAATGATAGAGTGAATCTGTATATTAAGAGGGGATTTATTAGATAGGCTTACAGGATGCTATCCTGTCAGTCCCACAATGACTGTCTCACACTGGAGAGGCCAAGAATCCAGGAGTTACTCAGTTTACTAATAGCTGTCTCATCAATCCTTATCTGATGCTAAGGCCTGGAGGATTCTTGGAGAACTGGTGCCCTTTATTCTACAGTGGAATCCCAAATAAACTAGTGAACAAACACCTCAGCAACAGGACAGATGAACTTGACAGTAAGAGTGATGGCAAGCAGTGAAAGCAAAGAGACCCCCTTCCTGTCCAGGCTGACACCAGAAGGTTCACACCCCACACACACATCTAAGGCAGGTTCCCCTGCTTCTAGTAGTCGGATCCAGAAAGAACCCTCACTGGAGTGCCCTGCAGATTGTGTTTTAGGTGATTCCAGTGCAGTGAAGATGACAACCTGCCATCATAGCAGGTAATGTATATGTCCTTTTTAAGTCAAGGCCCTTAAAATGTATCCAAAAACATACCATTATCTTGTGAGATGAATAAAGCCAGTATGGCAGTCTCCTTCCCATTCCAGTGATAGGTAGTTGGTAAGTAGAATGTATCCAGTTTAGGTCTAAGAAGTAAACAAAAATTTCTTGAATGTTCTAGAAAGAAATGGCCTCTTCCAGCTATTGTTCTGCCTCCTGGTGACCATGAGGGAATGACAAATGTAAATCCAACATAACAAAAATGTCAGATGCTTAACATTTGTGGTTAGTGGCTTGTATAAAAACACTTTTTAAAAGATAAAAAAGAGAAGGGAAAGCAAAACCTCACTATAGATTAATGTAAAATTGGTTACAGACTAGTTTTAAACACAGGAGACAAACTATAAAACTTTTTTAAAAATACTATGCTGCTTGAGTTCATGTATTTAAAATTAGTTTTTAATGCTGGATATTGAAAATTACCTTCATCAAAAAGAAAGTAAAACAAAACAAAAAAAATCTCTGTTCCAGCCACTTTTAATCCCAGCATTTGGGAGGCTGAGACAGGAGGACCTCTGAGTTCTAGGCCAGCCTGGTTTACTGAGTGAGTTCTAGAATACAGAGTTACATAATAAAGAGATGCTGTCTTAAAAAAACAAAAACAAAAACAAACAAAAAAAAAAAAAACCTCTCTTCCTAAAATTCTAAAAGCAACACTGATAAAGGCTAGGGAGGCGGCTCAATTGACAAAGACCTGGGCAGAAGCATGGCTTTGAAGACTCATAAAAAGCTGGGGATAGGGAGTTTGACAGAGAGAGTGCTCCTATAAACCAAGCACCATGAAGTGGGATGGGGTTAGTTGACAGGAACTGAAACAGTTGGGTCCCTAAAGCTCACTGCCCCCTCACCCAGCCTTGTCTCAGAGATGAATTTCGGGTTCAGTAAGAAACACTGTCTCAAAAATAAAATTGGAGAGCAAATTTAGTGCTCCACATATACCAGAACACACAGGCATATACCCACACTAACAAGTACACAACACACACACACTAACAAATATCCAATATATATATATATATATTTATCCAGACACTACTTATCCAGACACTTTGGAAAAGAGTGGCTCTGACTTAACACCTCCATCTTGTCCATAGGGGATATATTCTAAGATTCACATAGAAACCATAGGTAGAACCAAACCTTGCAAATTCTGTGATTTTTTTTTCCTATACGGTCATTTTTGAGCTACAATAATTTTTATTTTGCCTAAAAAAATCAACTTATAAATTAGACTTAGAAGTTAATCATAATTAATAATAAAAGTTACAATGATAAATCACAGTTATATAAACATGATTGGATCTGTTACATTTCTCTTGCGTACCACCACCAAAGGCAACTAAGGAAGAGAGAGTTTATTTTTGGTTTATAGTTCCAGTGGGATAGGAGTCTATGTGGGTGGAACAATGGCATGGCACTAAGCAGCAGCTATGATGGCGGGAACAGCAACCTGAGAGCTCACATATTAAATCACAAGCATGAAACAAAGAGAGCAAACAGGGGATGGCAGAAGGCTTTTAATCTCAAAGCCTGCTTCCAGTGATGTACTACCTCCAGGCACTCTATACTCATTGGGCACTGTCTTAGGGTTTCTATTGTTGTGAAGATACCATGACCATGGGAACTCTTATAAAGGAAAACAGTTAATTGGGATGGCTTACAGTTTCAGAGGTTTAGTTTCTTATCACCATGGTGGCACTTGGTGACTTGCAGGCAGACATGGTGCTGGAGAAGGAGCTGAGAGTTCTTCCTCAGACAATAGGAAGTGAACTGTGTGCCACACTGAGCATAGCTTGAGCAAAGGAGAACTCAAGGCCCACTCCTTTGATATACTTCCTTCAGCAAGGCCACACCTACTCCAACAAGGACATACTTATTCCAATAAGGCCACACACCCCTAATAAGGTCCACTCCCTTTGTGGACATTTTTTTTCCCAAACTACTACATTCCATACCCTACCTTGAAAAGTTTTCATAGTCTGTAACAGTCTCAAATTTACTTGAAAGTCTAAAGGTCAAAGTCTCTTATGAAATTCATGCAATCTCTTAACTTTAATCTTCTGTAAAATCAAAATCAAAAGACAGATCACCAAGTCTGATATTAAAACACTCTTCAAATCTCCAACTCCTTTCTGCCTTGTTGACTGCAACATGCTTCTTTCTCTTGGTCTGTTCCACTCCCTGTTACTAGTTAACCCCATTACCTCTGGCATCTCAAACATCTTAGAGTCTCTAAGGCAATCCAGGCTTCACCTTCACAGTGTCACACAATGGCTTTCTAGGCCTCTCTGCAGGAACACCCCTGCCACACACCTGATCTCAGTGGAGTTCCTTAGTTGTAGAG